CGGGGGCCGTGGGAGGAGGAAGGCAGTGGGGGTGGGGCGCAGCCTGGCCACACCGCACTTCGCAGCCAGCTCCTGGGGACACGCAGCCAGAGCCGAGCTCCTGCGGCCCTTTAAAATCGGCGGGGCAGGGCCGGGCATTGCCGGGGAAGGCTGCTTACCTGGAAATGCCTCCCCAAGCATGTGCTTCATTTGCTGGTGCCTAGAGCCATCCTTGGTTGGTCGGCAACCTTGTGGTAGTGGAGAGGACTTGTGTGAGTGAAAGACCTTCAGAGCAATGCTCCCTCTATTCTCTTCCATCTATGTGCAGATTTTTTCCATCCATGTGTGGAATAATTGTATGTGCACTGAGGCATATACCAATGTGCACCACCAATAGAAACAAAAAAAAAATCTAGCTGTGGATGCTCTGCTAATGAGGTGAGTGGCATCTGAATCTCTTCTAAGTGGCTGCACAAGCACACAGCTTACACTGCTTCAGAGCTACATCATCTGGAGTTTTCATGCTTCTGTTCAGGGGCGGATGAGAGTGTCGCGGGGCCCAGGGCAGCGCCGTGGGGCCCCAGGCAGCGATATTTTGCAGGGCCCCTCCTTTGACATGGCGCATGCGCCGTGGCGCCACGGCGCATACACGGGGCCTCGGGAAGTGCGGGGCCTGGGGCAGCTGCCCTGCTTGCCCTGCCCTAAATCTGCCACTGCTTCTCTTGGCAGGGACAACTAGCGGCATTGGACATAAAGAGGGCACCAGCAGGGAGAGAGAACATGACTCCCCTCCCGTGTGACTTGTTTCCATCTCCAGCCTGGGGTCTCCCACACTCTCCTCATCCCCTCCCCAATGGCACATTACCTTGTGAAGGTGGGGGACACTCTGTGCTCTCCCAGGCAGCGTCCAATCACACTATCAGACATGAGAAGCTTCTTTCAAGTAACTACATGTGAGCTAAGTTCCAAAAGCCTAACCCCCTTACATTACCAGGGCGGTGCCATCCTCCTCAAGTACAATGCAGCCATTAAATAAAGCTAGAAGGAGCACTTTGAGAGACTACTAATCACAAATCTGTTGTTCCTGAAGATGCCACTGAGTCTATTCCACAATACTGAGCAATGGAACCCCTTGCTGATCCCCATCTTCTGGGGAAGTCTGGCATGCCATCATCCAGATAAAAAATTTACAAGACAACAGGCTCAGATAGCACCCAAGCTGAGGTTTTTATAGATGGTACAACAATGCTTCAGCACAAACTTTGCCAACGCCTTGACAAAATCTGGACTTACAAAAAAATTCCACTTGACTTAAGAATGCCAGCATTGTCAAGTCCAACTCCCTGCTAAAAGCAAGACCAATCCCAACTAAATCATCCCAGCCAGGGCTTTGTCAAGCCAGGACTTAAAAACCTCTAGGGATGAAGATTCCACCACCTTCCTAGGTAACCCATTCAAGTGCTTCACCACCCTCCTAGTGAAATAGTTTTTTTTAATATCCAACCAAGACCTCCCCCACTGCAATTTGAGACCATTGCGCCTCAGTCTATCATCTGTCTCCACTGAGATCAGCCTC